CCCCGCCACCCCCGCTCCAGCCACCCCTGCTCCGGTCCTGTCGGCAATGACCGAAGCTGCTGAATCCAGTGGCCCAGTCCTGGGCCTGACTTGACCTCAGCAGCATGTGACATGCTGACCCCTCCCTTCTCCCCAAAGCCCTCACCCTGCCCCCTCCGCTCCGGGGCCCCTCCCCTCCCTGCCTGCTCTGCACAGTCCAGCCCTTCTTCCCGGACCATCTGTCCAGTCACCTCCTGGACCGCTCTGCCTGGCACACGAGCTCCAGCCTGTCCCTCCCGTCTTCCAAACTCCATCCGTCCCCCTCCCCCCACCCCGTCCCCCTCCGCAGTGGCAAATCCCAGGGGCTCCGGCTGCCACCGCTGACACCACCTCCCCTCGCTGCATCGCCTCACCAGCCCCGCCTCTGTCCTTGCCACCCCAGGACCTACGCTCGCCCAGCAGCAGTGCTCTGCTCAGGGGTCACGCCATGTCCCTGCGTGCTCAGACCCCACTCCCGCCTGACCACCTGCCTCCAGGTGCCCCACACACACACACACACGGGCTGCCCCTACTTCCTCCCAAAGAGCACGTCCCAGATGGGCTGTGACAAGCACTGTCAGCTGCCCCCATCTTTTCTAGTAATAGAAACCCCAATTTGTACCGGGGCTTATGACCGCCCACAAAACACAGGAGCTCAGCTAAATTTAACTTTTGGATAAACGATGAATGACTTTTAGTATAGCTACGTCCCGACTATTGCATGGCATATACTTATGCGAAAGGCTGCTCGTCCTAAAAACACTTGTTTCACACGGAGAAGTATTCGTTGGCCCTGTATTCGCTGTACTTGCTAAATCCACAGGCCAAGCCCACAACTGGGGATACATCTCGGCCTCCCCTGAACCCAGGACGGCCACGTGACTGAGGTCAACCAATCCTGCGGGAGCACAGCGGGGGCCGCGCCCTAGAGAGGCACCGGACTCAGCCAGCCCTCTGTGCCCTTCTGGGGCCCCAGGGAAGGGGCATCCCTTCCGGCCACTGCACCAGCTCGTGCCCAGGCCTGAGGCCAGCCCGGGCCTGGCGCTCTGGCCTGCTGTGGCTTACAGGCATCCTGGCGCCAGACATTCTGCTCGGCCTCCCACCTGGGCTAAGGTAGGGCTGTGGCTTCTTCGCTGTGATCCCCACACCTGCACCCCAGGCGCTTCCAAGCACAAAAGCTCTGAGGGCAGGGCGGGGCGGGTCACATGTTGGGAGGTTAGTGAAGGCGGGGCAGGTCACGCTGGGGCCCAGGGGATCTGAAGAGATACTCATCACGCAGATAGGACAGAGGGTGGGGACTGTCCTCAGGCAGTGGGCCCCAGCTCTCTAGCTCTAGGTGCCCTGATGTGGCCACAACCAGGGAACTAAAGCCCCAGAGGGGCCAAGTGTCCCACGGTAGTTACACTCAGCCCTACCAGGCTGCTGGACGTTTCCAGGCACTGCTTTCGTAGTAAAAAGTTCAAGAGTACAGGGAGGGGGGCAGGGAGGGAGGGGCCCCTCACCTCCCCTGGAGGCCTCCCGTCCCAAGGGAGGCTGTGCACGCACTGTGCGTGGGTGAGAGAGGGCAGGCCTGCCGTCCTGGGCATGGTGCCTGCACTCAGGCCCAGATCCCCATCCAGGGGTCCCTGGTGCCCAGGGGCGGGGCTGGGGGCTGCAAAAGGGACTGAGCAGGCAGGCCGGGGGCTGTGGGCAAGTCCCAGCCCTCCTTTCACGGACTCCGGGTGCCCAGTACCCACTCTGCGCTGGCAGCCTCGGGCTCCTAGGCACTGGGTGGGCCTCCAGGAAGCCCGACAGCCATCCCTACTACAGTGCGAGGGGCTCAGGGCAGGGGCAGCTGCTCCCGGGACCCAGGCGGCTTCGACACCGCATCCTCCTCAAAACAAGTGCAGACCGGCCAGGGGGCAGGGGCCTGGAAGGTGGACTTGCTGCAGCTACAGTGCCTGTGGGTCCCACAGAGGGGCTGGAGGGCCTCAGCCCACGGAGGAGCCCACGCGGGGACTCCTGAGGGCGACGCAGGAAGACAGGACACAGGTGCACTGGGCTGGGCGTTTATTGAGGGGCAACCGCTGGTGAGGGCCCTAGCGCCCCGCGGGCCAGCAGGCACACAGGGCGCGGCGCTCAGCCTGCAGCAGGAGCGTCTCCGTCTGCAAAGCAACAGGGGCCATGAGGGTGCTGCAGGGCCAGCCCCGCCCACCAGCCCCCAGCTTCCCCCCAAAAACCTCAAAGCCGCCTGGCCGTCTGTCTCCACCTGCCCCTGACTCTGAGAGCCCCATGACAGTCACCACCCACCAGGACTGCAGCCCCGCCTGTGCTCTGCCCACACCCCGCCGCGCCCCTGGGCTACCTTTTTCCCTGCTTCTCCAACTCTTTAGCCCCCTCCCGGCGTCTCCCCCATGCCCTACACCCCACCTCCCCATCCTCAAGGCAGGGTGGGGCTGCTCCTCTCAGGAGCTCAGCTGCAGAGACACCCAGGCCCTCAGACCCCGGGGGGCCACTGGCCTGGGTCTGGGCCCTTTAGAATTGTCTAAAAAAGGACATCAAGGCCTTGGGGCCTCCCCTTCTTTCTACTTCTGGGGCTCTGCCCCTTCTCCAGGGGTGCATAGCTCAGTCATAAACGCAACTCCTTGGCAGAGACACAGCAAGGATGGGGGGCTCCCTACTCATTCCCGAAGCTCCCCCTCTCCTGGTACCCTGTCATCCCGCATAGGCACCTTCCCCCCACAGGGGAGGCTGGGGATGGGCACCCTCCCAGACCCTCCTGCCCGAGATGGCCTGCCATGCCGACCTCAACCCCCTTCCCTCTGCCTCAGCTCCCCTCCTGCACACACACCCCCGCCCCCCGCTAGACTGGGACAAGCGATTCTTCCTCAGAGTCTGGCTGGCGGGTCACAGGAAAAAGTGCCCCGTGACGCCTTGGGGAGGAAGCGGGGCTGGACAGCCTGCCCCCTCCTCGCTAGCGCAGGGCATTTGAGGGGGGTGCTCACAGAGGAGAACGCCCCGCGGATAACGAGCCAGATGAGGGCGCTGTGCCCTAGATCGGGGCGGGAGCTTGGGGACGCGGCCCTGCGGTCCCCTGCCCCTCACCCGTGCGTCCAGGCTGTAGGCCGTCTTCCGCAGGTCCTGCAGGGCGCGCTGCATGAACTCGAACGCGTGGCAGTCCACGCAAGGGCGGCCTGCGGGGGCGCGGGCCCGCGCGGGTCAGTGCGAGGGGCGGTGGGTGCCCCAACCGCGTCCCGCAGAGCAACCAGACCCCGCCCTCTCCCCACCTCCCACCTAAGGGGCGGCCCCGGAGCTGCGGGCGGGGCTCGGGGACCGCCCAGGAACAAAGGCGAGGCGCGGGCTCCCGCACGCCCGGGTCGGGTCGGGACCTGGGCATCTCGGCGCGCGGCACCTACTCTGCGCGGGGACCGCACTCCCGGCGGCGGACTCGGCGCGGGCCTGGGCGCCCAGCAGCGCCACGCTCAGCAGCAGCAGCAGCAGCA